CAATTCTATCATGTAGCACCATACTAAAACCCTGTTAGGACATCAGTAGGGCTGGAACTTTTAGATTGTAGTGTGCTCCCAATTTGAGTTAACAGAATAAATAGTTATTCTCAATATGCCCCAGTACTAAAGGACAATGAGACACCCATTTTACTGGTGAGTTTTACAGAAGTGTGTTCATGAAAGAGAAATGGTCAGATCTAGGCATCTATTCCAGGCTTTAACAATTACAAATCCCTCTGCTTATTTTTCTGTACTCTTGACCCTTTCTGATCTGTGTTCTCTAATCTGTCTTTGTTCTGTCCCAGTTCTCTCTTTCCCAGGCCTGACACCTCATCCAGTTCCATTCAAGTCACTGGAACTTCTCAACCAATGGCTACAATATTCTTTTACGAAATGGTAAATCAACATATTTGTTCCTAACCTCACTTTGGAAATGGCTGAGTTTCTTTAGCTGAAATTTCCAAAAATAAATCAACCACAGGCAGACACATGGTATGGAAAATTTCAGCTTCAACCATTAAAATTTGGCACTTATAAGCAACTGAAAACAGAGTATTATAATAGGAACCATGAAACAACACTAATAATAGGGGGGTGCTGCCAGCTCTGCCTATAATTAGTTAATATTGTCACATGCTCCCCTTCCCTATAAGAGAAGCAAGCTGGTAAAGCTTTCCGTCATAAGGCTAAGGACTATGACTAAGATTTGTCTGATCTAAATCACAGCCTACTTCCCTCTCTGACCCATCTGTCTTAAAATCTTAAGAGTTCTTGCCTTTAATCCTGTTTTGGCTCCTGTTCCTCTTCACTACCTTCTAATTCTCATGGTTATTTTCCTCTCATGCCTTTTAAAGAAGAAAAAGAGAAAAAGGAGACACTGGAAAGAAAAGGACAATTCCCAATAGATAAGAATTGAGAGTGAGAACAACTGAAGATTGTCCACACAGTGCAGAGAAGACCCATGCAGAGATAGTCTGTTAGCTTTGTGTGTGTTAGTGCCTGAACCCGATGACCAGTGCAATCATTGTACTGTGGTGCAACAAAAGCTAATTAGAACTTGTACAGCTGCAGCTTCCCATCCCCTGGATGTATAACCAGTACACTTTTTAAAGAACCTGCCAAAATGTCATTAGAGTTCAGCCTTACAAGGCTCTGCAATAGCCCCTCTCTTTCTTCTTCACTTTCATTTTCATGACAGCTTTTTAGGACACCTGTAGCCAGGGGTAGATCCAGGCACGGGAAGTGTGGCTGCCTCCACTTTGGCGATATGGTACATGCTTGGTGAGCTCTCTGAGCTCACCAGTTCATCTGTGCAGCTCCTGTCAGAGCTACCACTTTAGCACAGTTTCAGGCCAGGTACAGACTGGTATAAGTGATTGGAAACCGCTTTATATCTGTAACATAACAGAAGTTCTGCATGCATAGACTGGTTTAAAAATGGTGGAACCTAGTCTAAGATTTGCTCCCCTCCCAACCAAATGTCTGTTTTGTTCGCTGCCAATATAACTGTTTACAGAAAACAGCATAACTTAGATGGATTCAGCGTTGGGCTTTTAGAATGTCTGTACCTAGCCCCACAATCCAGGAAAGGAATGACACTGTTGCTCCCCAGCCCCCGCCCCCCTTTTCCTTGCCACCAATTTGGCAGTGGCGGCTGGAATGAAGTAAGTGACAACCACATAGCTGAAGGAGGGTGTGATTCCACCCCCTCACACTTCTCTATCAACCCATGCCCATAGTGGGCACCTTTAATTTAGTTGCTCCAGCTGCAGAAGTGATTACTTTTTTCCACTTCTCTCCCCCACCATCTCCAAGATCAACCATCACTTTAGTCTTTTAAGCAGCCTGCTGATGTATCTTTTCATTAAGGATTGGTTCCAAGCACCCACTGAAAGACTCTTCCCTCCTCTCATCAAAACTAAGTTCATTCAGGGGGTACCATCACAAGTGCCCTCAGCTTCACATTACCCAACTTGTCACATACTTCAGACTCTGTCAACATTAGTGTTAATCTATTTCTTTTAACTTTGGTTTCACTGGATGCCTTCAAAAACCAATATCTGTTCTGAAATCTTCTATAAGGATGTACAGTAGGCCTGTCCAAATAGGGAAGTATTTGACTTGGATTTGGATCTGGCCGATTCAGAGGACAGTGATTTGATTCAAAGATTTGGATCGCTGTTCCAAATTGATTTAGTACCGATTTGGAGAGATTTGGTGATTTGCCCATAGACTATAATGGGGAATCACTGAAATACCTATAACTGTGTCATTTTTTGGCAGATTTGGATGAAAGCAGCAGGGATGGTAGCCTGTAACAGGGGGCCTTCCCAGTGCTGGTTAGATCTATGCCCGCCCACCTGTTTCTGGGCCAGCCACTCACCCACCCTCATTTGGTCAGGTAGAAACAGCTCACAAAAGGGACAGAAAGACTACAGACAGAGGCTTATATGCTGTTTCCACATCCCTCCCCCAGAGCACTGTGACTGGAAACAGACTTGGAAAGATCACAGTCACTGGCCAGCTACCGATGTCAGTCTTTCCCCCCCTTCTGCCCCTCCCACTTCTCAATTTCTGTTCCCTTGAAAGAGTGCCTTCTAAATCTTCTCTGAATTTTTTCCAAAACAATTGGGAGGGTTTTTTTGGTCCCCTGATTCAATTCAGATTTGGTGATTCGGCCTCCGAATCGGGCCAAATCTTCTCTGAATCAAATCAGTAACCAAAGCTTTGTATACCCCTAATGTACAGGGTAAAGATATGAAACCTTCTTTAGATGTGGTTCAGGTTCTAAATTGCCCTTCTTTGCTGTATCTTGTCCTTAGCCTCCCCATCTCCCCTGATCAGGAGACAATTATTGCATCAAATACAATACCTTACAAGTCCAACCAATCTGGTCATATATAATCCCTTTAATACATTTATCAAACTCCGCCTTAAAAATAATTTGGGCTTTTGTCCTGACTACTACTATCACAAGATTATTCTAGAAACCTCACTGACAGACAAAAACCTCTCCCTAATTTACAACCTTAATTTACTTATGATCAATTTATACCAGTTTGTTATTGTGATATTTTCCTTTAGTTAAAGGCTTTTTCCCTTCCCTTACTCTTTTGAAATATTTATAAACAGCAATCATAACCCTCTTCTAAGTTTCATTATGCAAGACTAAACAAGCCAACCTCTTAGCTTCTCTGTCATAATAAGACAGAATCTCTATTTCTCTAGTCTGAATGACTTTCTTGAACAAGGGTGACCAGACCTGAAGACTGTATTCCAGACTAAGATTTGTATAATGGCATTAATACTTCCTTATCTCTCTTAAAATGCAATTCTACAACATATCTGTCTTTTCTATGGCTGCATCATATCAGATCAGAGTTACCCTGTGATCTGATAATACATACAGTTCTTTCCCCTTCTCTGTCTTTTTCCACTGATGAGCTACCAGCTTATATGAGGAACTAGCAAAAAGAATTTCTTATTGCATAATTTTGCACCTTGCATCAGGGACTTAACATAAACAATGACTTCATGGGCCATTAAATCTTCCTGTTATTCACTAACCTCCACACTTCAGAGGTAATTATGACCCTACTTAACAAGTTTTTGTTCCATCTGCTATTCAGCTCAGCTGTGTCTGCTTCTGTTTCAGAGGCCTGAGGAAGAATACTGTGATAACTGAAAGCTTGCTAAGGCTAAACCAACCATACAGCAGGTTCAATAAAAGATATCAGCCACAAGAATTCTTGCCTTTCACACAAGGGGACAATCACAGCAGTAACATCACCTCAACACTAACTTTTACCAAGAATTTTTCCACGATAGGATATAATATGGATCCCACTCTAACTCTTTTGGAGTTGGAATGCCATCATCACACTGTGGTGGGCTTTCTCAACTTATTTCCCCAGAGAACAAGGTCTGATAAGAATTATTTCCCCTTAATGTCAATACCTGAAGCCCTACTCCTCTCATCATAAAATAAACCCTTTTCCCCTCTGGTCCCCAAACACCTCCTTCATGTTTCTGGGATGTCATGTCCTCCTTTAAGGGTTACTTTGTGTCACAATACCAGGACAACTCTCTGAAAATGTGTACAGTATTTATGAACGTTTCATGTAGCATGTGTATGCATCTGAGATGTTTATGCAGGGAAGACTGGTTCATAGGTCATATGTTCACACCAGAGAATGTCTTTTCCTATTTTCTCTGTATAGAAGTATATATTTCTTAGAACTAGCCAACACACTTTAATTAAATATTAGATAATGGCAGGCAGCCACAAACCAAAAAATACAATTACAAACGAAGTGGTAAAATGGGAATACCTGTTCTTGTAGTTCAGCTATAGACCAAAATAGAGTATTTTTTATGATTCCAATATTTTAAAGGCCTAGTCACATTTGTAAAGTCAAACTACAGCCTAATTTAGCAGTTACCATAATTTCCTAGCAACAATACCAGTTTCTCCAGAACGAAATTCCAGTTGTACCAGCCACACACCTCCTCACTATCTTCTCCCCAGAGTTTTTCGCTCATCTTTTTTCTTTAAAACACAACAACAACAAATCCCAGTTGGGGTATGATTCAGCTATTGTACAATCATTTCATTATCTGCCCTTTAACTAGGAACAGACCTTTGGGTACTCCTAATCCTATAGCTTACTGAGCAGTTAGAATGGGGGCTTGAACAACCCAACCCAAATCCATTCCAGTTAACAGTATGCATATATCTATGATGGCACATATGAGCTTAGCACACAATGGGACCCAGAACCTTATCTCAGTGCAAATAAATGCTCATTACTATTTTTGATAGATCCAGAATTTATCAGTAAGGTAGCTGAAAGATGGACAGCCATCTAAGTACTAGGGACAAAAGCTTACACTTCCAGGGCTTACACTAGTCACTGGTAATGAACTATAGTAGAAACATGTATAAATCTAGCATGTATAAAAGTACTGGAACTTTTAAAAACAATGAGCTGTCTTACCTGAACATTGTTTTCTGCTGTACCAAGTGCTACTTGAAGCTTTTGGCATTTTTCTCGTAAACTAGCGGCTTCATCCTGCACCATTTGCAATTCAGTCTTCAGTTTTCCCAGGTTTTTACGTAAAATAGCTTCTTGGTTTTGAAACTCTTTTCTTAGCTCCATTTCTTTTTCTTTACATGCATGCAAGCTTTCGGCTGTAAAGAGTTGGGATCTTTTCAAAGCATCAAGTTCATGTTCATAAAAAGACTGAGCTTTGCTGAGTTTGCCTTCATAGTCCTCAATGAGTTTTTTCCTTTCCAATCTTAGCTCTTCAACTTTGCTGTTTAAATCTTCTAGTTCCAGTCTATGCAACTCCTCTAGCTTCTCCTGTCCTTTACTTAAAGTTGCATTTTGATTCTGTTGTGACTTCAGAAGCTCTTGGATCTCTAGTCTGTGTGCTGCTCTCAAATCTTCCAGAGCTGAGCGTTTGTCTTTCTCATACTGTACCTGCAACTGTATGAAGCTACGCAGCCTCTCCTCAAATTTCTTTCTAATCTCTTCTACCTCTCTTGACATGGTTACTACACGTTGGACATGTTGGGCTTCTGCACATAACTGCATGTCTTCAACCCTATCCTTGTAAGCTTCAAATTCTGTCAAAGCTTGATGTTTCATCTTTTTATGATCTTCCAATGACTCTTCCAAAACCTGGATCTTTCTCTTAAGATCCATTTCCTCTGCAACTTTACTCTTATACTGCAAGATCTTTTCTCTTGTTTCAGCTAGGATTTGCTGGATTTCTTCTTCATGTGCATCCTTAAGAGCTTGAATGGCAGCTTCATGTTCATCATTCTTAGTGTTCAAAGCATATATCACCTGCAAGTTTAAAATAAGATTATGTTAAGTAAAGACATGCTCTTATTTTTTTTTTTTGCTAAAATGAACAAAGAAAATCCAAACCAAAAAAAAAAAACAATTTGTAAGTATTATGTAAAGCTATCAGTTTATTTTGTCACACATTCATGATGCAAATAAGGTACTGCATATGTTTAAAGACTGTTGACTTTATAGGCCCTTTATACCAGATACTACAATAGTTTTATATATTAGAACTGCACAACACTTCTGCACTTCCTGATCTGTGATTTGCTGATATATATTTTTACAGAGGGGCTGGGCTATCCCAAGTAGATATTGCCAAAAATCAAATATCAATATGAAATCAATTTAAAAAC